ATGTAATCTCTGAAGGATCGCCAGCAGTCTCCCTATCTGACCTGTCAGGCTTTAGGGGAAAAAGAACCTGCGACACCTGGATTGTGGAGCGTTTTTAACTTGAAACGCCCTCTCCTCTCCCTTTTCCCTCTTTTCTCTCAGCCTCTTTCTCCAAGTCTTGCTTTTGGAATGAGAAAAAACAACTCTATTTTCTGTCAGTTTTTTGTCAGAATACTAGTTACATGAAATCCGGTGTATAAACCTTTTCCAGTAATATCACCGTTTAAGTAAAAAACAAAAAACAACAAACATTTAGGAGCAAATGCTAAACTTGACTTGTCCTGGTGAATCTATAGCCATGACTAGCTGACTCTCAGCACTGCTGCAAACAGTAGCTTATGTATGGAATCCCAGTTTTATGACAGCGAGTCCTAAGAATGCTTTGCCTCAACCTTGTGTTTGTATGTTTGTCTGGCATGTGTGTTTATGTGTGTATGTCTAGGTCTGGCCTCAGTGGCTGGAATGTGTGAGCCAGAGAGGAGCTGCAGCATCAATGAAGACATCGGCCTCGGTTCTGCTTTCACCATTGCGCACGAGATTGGCCACAAGTGAGTTTTAAGAGTTTTTAGGATCCTAATATAAAATATAAAACTTGACATTAATCCCTGATGCGTCTTGCAGAGGTGGTGGGACCAAGTCAGAGGGCCTTAAATGGCTTGGTTTTGAAGGCACACATTTAAATTACTTAACAGAACTTGTCTCATTAATTTAAAGTGGTGCAGCTCTGTCTACTTTGACTTGAGAATTATTATCCCTTAGTTAATCCTTATCATGGCTTGTAAAAGTTTTCCTTTTTTGTCTTTATACTTTTTCATGATTATAGCATAATTTGGCGTGGCACCTTACGCACATCCACAATGAACTTACACCCCGACAATATTTATTCATGGATCCTTTTTTAATTCAGAACTTAAACTTCTCTGGTGGCATAAAATCCCTCAATATGAGTATTGGCACTGCTGATATCCGCAGATTTCTAAGTAGGACTTGAAGTTCTTCCTTTTACATTTTTGGGAATGAAACTTTCCATAAATGTAGCACCTTTTATAGCAGTTTTAGGTGTTGGCAAATGCCCTCTTTTTACTTAAGGTCGTCTTCAAACCTTTTATCACTTTCACGACCTGTTCTTAAACAAACATTACTTGCTGCCTGGTTTTGCCGGACTTGCATATAGTCTTTTTTTTCCCCCTTGCAGACTGTAACTGCACATATTTCCTCATGCAAATGTCAGTGTCCGCATACCTCGGCCTCTTTCTTCCTGAATATAAAGCAAAATAATGATGATGTATTAGTCTGTGTATTCCTCTCTCGAGAGTTAGGCAAGATGGCGATTTCCTTTATTATGTCTCATGTCTGCTTCTGTTGTGGGGCAGTTGTAAAAATAGTCTCTGCTTCTAGAGGATGTATAAAAAAACACACTACAGCGGGGTTTCGACTGGCCTGATTTATTTCCCGAGTAGGGTAAAATGTCATAAACGCCAGCCTTAGAAAAACAGGTTCAGTCTGTGCAATGTGGTTGGGTTTGTTATATACATTAGACCTGATTTGCGCCACTAGACTGTGAGGGAAAGTTAAGCTTTGATATCCTGCTGTAATGAGAAACTTTTCTCTCAAGTGATCTCCTGACAGATGAAGTTTTTCTGAAAATGAATTGTTGCAACCATTGATAGCCAACATGAATTCAGTGTGAAAGAAACTATTTCGTAGCTTTCAGAACAGTGTTCAAAGTTTGGAGCTGCTCATTGTAATGATCTAAAGGGTCTTGACTCCTCGCTCCAGTCTGTGCTGACTTTCCTTCCCTGGCTTGCTCAGACCTGCAGGCAGTGATTGACAGACAGGCATCCGAGTGGTGATTAGAACTTCTTCTTTCCTGCAGAGCCCCAGACAGGGTTTGACCCTTGACCCCTCCACACAGCTGTTTTAGAGCCAATGAGCTCAATCTTTACAGCCACAGAGGTTGACATCCACAATCCACAGCCTTAACTGTCCAGCGAGATCCCATCTAAACCGTGCAATTAACTACCACTTTCAGACCAGATGGTCATTTCTCCCAGCTGCATTAATTCCTCTTCTTATTTATTTTTTTCTGTTTTAGTTTTGGGATGAACCATGATGGGATTGGGAATTCTTGCGGTACCAAAGGTCACGAGACAGCCAAACTGATGGCTGCTCATATAACAGCCAACACCAACCCTTTCTCCTGGTCTGCCTGCAGCAAAGACTACATCACCAGCTTTCTCGAGTAAGTGGGTGATATGGGTGGTGGTTGTTCCCTGTGGGTCTGTGTACGTGTGTGCGTGCGTGCAATAGAGAAAAAGGTGCATTCCTGTTTTCCCTTTTTACTCACAGCTGTCTCTCTTTACAACCCGCTGCCACTGGCTGGTCCATGTGGCTGGACCCGCTAGGCTGCTTTGTACGCGAGGCCTTCCCCTACTTATTCACATCCACTTCATCACTGAGACTTTTGCCAGACCTCCTTGTGGCTGCGTATGATAACTGAGTGCTTTCCACCCCTGCATCCTTGCACCACAAGGCGGGTGATGTTAGAGCTCATGTGGTCCTCGGTGGTGATGTGTAGGCCAGCTGCCTTAAACCACTGCTCTGCTGTTTTATATATTGGCCAAAGGAGGCAAAAAAGGAGAAAGAATTGGAGCACATAAATAAACAAGGCAGTGATATTTGAGTCTTGCCAGCCTGGCATAGTAGAGGACACACCAATGTTTCTTTTCCAGAGGCTAGACAAAACGTCTGGAGTAACAGAACAAACAGATAATCGTTACAATGACAGACTTCTACACCTATTTCTGCACAGCATGATGTAGAGGAGGCGTGTCAATTTGAAGCCTTACTTGAAATTCTAATGCTCTTCACGCTTGCGAATCCCTGATTTTTTTTTTCTGGCACTTTTGTCTTTTTATTAGATGGCAGAGACTCTGAATGTCGCAATGCCCCAAATCTGATAATCAACAAAGCCCTTTGCCAGCTCCATGCATTGTCATAATGCATTTTCATGATGTAACATCAGTGCAATATAACTACAGTCATGATCTTTTTTGCTCCACAAATTCTTTTTCCATATTTAAGCCTATAGCAGCACAGAGCAACTCAGCCGGCAGCAGACTTCTGTCAGAAATCCAGCTGTGTTATACTAGTAACGGCTATTGTAGCATGGAGCTGCTAATGCCTTTTTAATGATCATAGAATGAGGTCAAGGACCCCCTTAACTTTGTAGCATTTGTGGGATTGATAAGATTCCCGTGTAGCTTTATTGCTGCACAAAAATTTCGAAACTCAAAGTGCTTGTTTGCAAAAATGGAACAGTGCTGACCGTGCAGAGCTAGTAGCACAAGACCACCACGGAAACAGGAAAGAAACTGACAACAATGGAGGAAAGTATAAAATGGGCCAAAGGTTACGAATGATTTCTAATCTAATCTGATGTGTTGCTTTGCTGTTTGTGTTGTTTTATCTTATACTCCTATCAACAAGTAGTCGACAGGGTTTATTCTGATGGATATTTAGATTCATACAGCAGCATTTTATTCATTTATAATCCTTCTCCTCAGGTACAAGATGTAGAAAATCAAGATCCATCATAAACACCTTATTGTATTGTGTTATCTCAATAGACCACTTTCCTCTCAGAGTGCTGGCTTAATTGTAGTTATAAGCATTTCCAAAAGTAGAATGGGTGGTGACTATCAGGCCACTGTCTCGTGGAACCAGCTACCAGTTTGGATTCAGCAGACGTACACCTTTTCTACATTTAAGATTATTTATTTATTTTTTAAAAGCTACTACCTTTAGAACAGGTGACCCTAAATCATCCCTTAGTTATACCTCTGTTGGCTAAAACTGCAGTGGAACTCACAACACCCTGAGCATTTCTTCTTCACTGACATCTTTTCACTTCCCATGCCACTAACCTTTGTTTGCTGTCCCCCATAGTCTGTTTTGTCCTGACTGTTTGTGGTGTCTCGTTTCTCCTCTTTCCTCTTTTCTCTTTTCCCCTCTGTGCCCCTCCCTGAACCTAAGTAAGTCTATACCTTACAATATAAACTACCTTGTCCATAAACGGAAAGCTGGTAACATTATCTCTGCAATGTCACCTGCCTTAGACAGCGAGCAAGAGGTCAGGGTATATTTTTACCTTTTAGTTCTAACACTAAGAAACTTTGTATCTGGTGCTTCTGCTGTCTGGTTTATTGTGCATGTGCAAATTCATTTTTCATGCTGATTTTTAAAAAAAAATGCTTCATCTGACTTGAGATAACAACACAGAAAAGCATTAAAACATTAGTATGTTGTTGTTGTTGTTGTTGTTTTTTTAGTTTACCCTAGATAATAGAGATAATTTTTGAAAAATGAGCCTGTTATGCTAATTTTCAACTCCCTATTTTTATTCTTTAGATACTTTTCAGGTTTAAGTAATCCTTATTTATCTCATATTAGCCCGGGGTGTTGCCCTTTAGTTTATGTACTCTCTGAAAAAAGCTTTTGTAGTTACATTCCCTTTAAGCTATACTTCTTTTGATTGGTTGCTGTTTGTAAACAGGTTTGTATATTTCAACTCAATTCAATTCAGTTTTATTTACACAACACCAAATCACAACAACAGTCATCTCAAGGCGCTTTACATTGTAAGGTAGACCCTACAATAATACATACAGAGTAAAACCAACGATCATATGACCCCCTATGAGCAAGCACTTTGGCGACAGTAGGAAGGAAAAACTCCCTTTTAACAGGAAGAAACTTCCGGCAGAGCCAGGCTCAGGGAGGGGCGGCCATCTGCTGCGACCGGTCGGGGGGAGGGAAGGAAGACAGGATAGAAGACATGCTGTGGAAGAGAGACAGATAAGAGCCAGACAAGTATGATTCAATGCAGAGAGGTCTATTAACACATAGTGAGTGAGAAAGGTGACTGAAGAAGAAATACTCAATGCATCATGGGAATCTCCCAGCAGCCTACACTACTGCAGCTTAACTAAGGGAGAATTCAAGGTCACCTGATCCAGCCCGAACTGTATGCTTTAGCAAAAAGGAAAGTTTTAAGCCCAATTCCACAGAAGAGGGGCCTGAAAACTGAAGGCTCTGATTCCCATTCTACTACTTAAATACTCTAGGAACAACAAGTAAGCCTGCAGTGTGAGAGCGAAGTGCTCTAATGGGGCGATATGGTACTATAAGGTCATTAAGATAAGATGGGGCCTGATTATTCAAGGCCTTGTATGTGAGGAGCAGGATTTTGAATTCAATTCTGGATTTAATAGGGAGCCACTGAAGGGAAGCAAATATAGGAGAAATATAGCCTAGAAGAAGCCTAGAAGTAATAAATACATGAATTAGTTTTTCAGCGTCACTCTGAGACAGGATATTTCTTATTTTAGAGATATTGCACAAATGTAAGAAAGCAGTCTTACATATTTGTTTAATATGGACATTGAAGGACATATCCTGATCAAAAATGACTCCAAGGTTCCTCACAGTGTTACTGGATGCCAAGGTAATGCCATCCAAAGTAAGAATCTGGTTAGATACCACATTTCCAATACTTTCAGAGCCGAGTACAATTACCTCAGTTTTATCTGAGTTTAGAAGCAGAAAATTAGAGGCCATCCAGGTCTTTGTCTTTATTGTTGTATGTTTGAGATAATCATATTGGATATATCCTGTCTTGAGCAATCATTCTCCAGCTTTTCTTTGGACACTGGCTGCTTTTTCACTTATTTTCAGTCTAGTCCATGTAACTGACTGACACGTAAACGACTTGACACAGGACCTAAGAGATGCATCTGACCCCTCTAGTGTTTGCTGAAATGGTTTTAATGGAAGGGTGGCTGTCCAGAAGCTGTTCATAAGAAAACACACACTCTCAGGCAAACTCCTAAGAGAGACTTATAAACTTTTAGTTTTTTCCTAAATACTATATTTAATTTGTGTTTGCAATTGTTTTCAATAAATTGCTTCACCTATTCCCCATTTTACTAGCAAAATATGAAGAAAGGAGATGTGACTCAAGACTTTTGCATAGTACTGTACATTTGACAGAAAATAAGAAAAAGCCTCCAATTTAAGGTCCATGTGAAGATTAAAAGTCCATTTAAAGTCTGTTCCTGTAATGAAACCAAAGGGCCGTAAATGTTTCAGTACTAACGGCTTTTCTTTGCAGCCACAGACACCAGACATTTTTTTTTCTCTGCAGTTCAGCTTCATTTCTCAGTATTAAGACCATGAGAGCAAATTCATAACTGCAACCTTGTGGTGAAGTATTGGTTACAAGTCTGCGGTGTGTCTGTGTGTTCCTCTGTTTGTGTATTCATGTTTAGTTAGCGAGGCCCTCCAAGAAAGCGGATAATAGCTGCTGTGGTTGTCAGATGATGTTTCCGGCTGAAAGCTGTTAGAGGAGGGTAGTGAACAGCACTTGTGACAGAGATGACAGTATTAAATGCCAGCTTCCAAATGGGACACAAAGAGCTGCTTCTACTCTGCGCTGCCGGGTTCCTGACGATTTCTGGCTCGTGTATCCGAGAATCACTATTTAAAAAAAAAAAAAAAAAGAAGTACCCAAAAGAGACAAAGCTTTTTTTTACTTCACCTTTGAGCAGAATAGACTATTGCTTAACTAATATTATATGCATATTTGTATCAATCTGCGTTTTAGTTTTATTGCCTTTTGCCTTTACAAAAGTGTTTTGTCTGTAAACTCAAATTATCCTCCCTTTCTCCCCCTCAATCAGAATTTTGGATATTGCACATGCATCTCCCTGCCAAGTAAACAACTTTGGCTGTGGTATTGGCCTAGATTCACCATCTTGCTCGAGCAATATGTGGTGCTTTGTTTGGGTTTTTTACGAATGGTTTATGAATGCGCTCACAGTTCAGTCATAGTTTATTCTCCAGAGTTTGCGTGCCAGTTTGTTCTAAATGTTAAAAGGAAAGCAGTTTGGCTTCATTAAACTCTCCGAGACCACATACTGCAATGAATTTCAGATTAAACTTGTACCTTTTTGTTAATAATTGTTAGGCTATACTGATTTAAACATACTGCTGCCTCACAACTTATTGGATCCACTCAGCAGGCTTAATATCTTCGTGAATGACTAGTCCCAGAGTACAGGGATAGCTGAAGTTCCTGCTTGTTAGAAGACGTTTCCGCTCAGCATAATGAATTTGGCTAAATCCACTGGACAGGAAGCCTTTGCGACGATGTCAAATAATAGTCTCTATGTTTATACTTTGACTATTTTGTCTCTCTCCAAACTAATAAATACTGAGGCTTGCCCTTAGTACACAGGGTGTCTGGGGGCCTCATAGTCTGGCTTTTCTGCCTCTGCCTGTGATGAGAGGGTCCTCCGACGGACAAGAGTAAAGAAAAAACATTATTCCTTTCAGTAACAGAGAATAGAGGATTAAAAATGCAAGAAAGGGAAGAGAAAGATAGAAAAGATTAGAGAAAAGAAAAGAAGGATGACTTGCTCTTCTTGGTCTTCAGCGCTGAAAATAAAACATACATAATAAGTTCTATTTGGTATGTGAACAAAGATTATATGTAATATATTTTGTTTATGCATTCTTGCTCAAGCACCAGGAGTCTGTTTGTGAGTTTAGACAGGTAGTTACAATGTGAAAGTCAATTAAATGAGTTTTTATGATGATTTTTACATAAAGTCAAAATGCTGTCTACAAAAATAACTGGAGAGATTTAATCTTGAAAACCAAATTACCATCTGAAATGATAAATTTTGTGTTGTGCTAATCATAATCGGGTATTTAATTTATCTTAATATTATTGTTGACTCTTCCCCTCATTTTCATTCTGGGCCCACGTTGTAGTTTGATCAGTCATAATGTGTAGCACTTACATTGTTGTTGTCACCAAGCCCACTTTGCCTTGAAAGGGATGAGAAGCATTCCATTGCATGCTACAGCTGCCACATCTGGAAGGAACACATAGTTCTTATAGTAAACAGTCATGGTAATACTTTGCCTCGAGATAATCCTCTGACTCAGGGAAGACCAGTGGATGTAGTCTCTCATAAAAAAAAAAAATCTGTTATAACCTCATGGCAGCAAGTGTCTGTGCTGGTAAAAGTATTTTCATTGTTTTAACTCCTAGAATACAAAATTGCAGTGTGTATGTACGTGTGTGTGTCTGATTTTGGTGGTGTACATGTTGTACATATTTTTATTTGACAAAACAGACTAAACAATCCTAGGTCTGGACATAAGATCCAAATCTAACTCCAGATTTCTTTCTTTCTTTTTCTCAACTGTCATTTAATTGGCAGTCGGTGGGCTCAGTCTAAGGAGTCATACACACAATAGTGGAGCACGTAGCCATATAATCAGGGAGGGCTGGCCATTCTAGGCTGACAGCCTGCACCCTATTGCCTTGGGTAAAATGTCTGCTTGTGCTTCAACACTTCATTTGATGAAGAGGCGTTGATGTCTAATATCAGCATTAATTACATGACTTTTCAGATCTTTGTCAAAGCGTCCTATAACAGTAGTTTGGTACTAAAATTAAAGGAGTCACAGAAAACTAGCAAAGGTCTCAGAGGCGATTGACTCTAATTGTTCTGGTCTTGGCATCTCTAACTCGGCTATTATGCAAGTGTAGAAAGGTTTCTTTGTGTAAGAAACAATCCTATTGTAGGTTTGTTTTTTTGACAGCTCAGGTCGGGGGACGTGTCTGGACAATGAACCTCTGAAACGAGACTTCCTGTACCCAACAGTGGCCCCGGGGCAGGTGTATGATGCAGATGAGCAGTGTCGCTTCCAGTATGGAACCTCTTCACGCCAGTGCAAGTATGGGGTAAGAAACCAGCATCTTTCAGACTACTCTCCTCCTGATTCTTCCTCTTTACACTGAGAAAATGGGATCTCTCTCCTATATTATGTCTAGGGCAGTTAAAATAAACTTTTCTAGTTCCCAAGCGCAAGTTTTAGAACAGAGTTCACAGTGAAAGATATATCACAGTAGGTACAATACCCAAACATTGCTAGACTTTACTTTCAAAGTGGAATAAGGATATAAACAACCCCTTGAATATTTGCAGTAATTAGAAACAGGCACAGTAATTTATTAAATGTGCAAACATACATAGAAATGTAATATAAGGTAAAAACACAGTTTGTAGTATTCTAATGAGCTAGAAAGTCGATATTTGCTATAACCACCTTTTTCTGTATTTATAATTCTAACAATGTTGACAAGAAATAATAAACATAATTCCCTGAAATGTACACCCAGACCATGACAGAGCCTCCATCGTGTTTTAACATAGCAGCAGACTGCTGTATCGCTCTCCTAAGTTTTCTGTTATGTGTAGACACAGCAACTGTTCATCCCTTGAATCAGGAGGCTGTTTATGCTTAAATGATTCAAAAATGAGTGAAAAAGCAACCAATGTCTAAATGAAGAAAAAAAGGACACTGGAAGACAACTGAAGAATTATTGCTCAAGACCTTTTTAAAAAATATTACAAGCCAGTCAGCTCCTTGGAAGGAAAATAGAAGAAATAAAGAAGGGAAACAAAGAAAGAGGAAAAAAGAAACAGAAGAAATAAAGATGGGTGACTCAAGACGTTTTGCTTAGTATTGTACATAGAAATATTATGCATACATTGGTGTGATGTTAGGATCTTCAGTGCCCATTAAGAATGAATATACATAATCAATGGAATCATCATTAAAATTGCTCTGTCATAGTAAACCTGAGCATCTTCACACTATGATGCAAAGCATATGGGGTCTTAAAGCTAGCAGTCTCATTGTTGTCTCGTCAGCTCTGATCCTCTGATTTGATCTGGAATTGTGTAGATTTATAGACACATTTTTATGCCATTTGCCTTCTTTTCTCTTGTTCTCACAGCTGTTAGACTACACCAAGAAAAACACTCAAAGGAAAACCAGCAAAGAGCAACTGATAAATAATTTTTGCCTCTATTTAACAAATCCACTCTCAGCCTGCTGAATTAATTTATTCTGACCAACTTGCTTTTGCCCTCTTTCCTAGGATGCGCCTTAGCAAAAGCAACTGTTGTGTAACTAACAGTACATGACTGCTCTGTCATAGTAAACCTGAGCATCTTCAGATTTTAGACTCTTAAGGGATCACTTAAAGTTAAAGATTTTGTAGAACAAGAAAGTTAAAATATTTGTAGAACAAGTAATTAAAGATAACTAAGAAAAAAGTCCTTCAGAATTTAATGTTGTGTAATTATCATTGTTAAAACATTTTACGTGGCTACAGTGAGAACAGGAAGTGCTAGTATCTACTGTAACATGTCTTTCCATGTTGGCGATTTGTCAAAATGGACCTGTGATGTCAATAATTTTCCATCAGGTCTGTAGACTTGTACTGCACATTTGTTATCTGACCTTATAGCCCCCATATTATATCCCCATCTGGAAAGGGCTGAGCTGTCTGAAAAGTAAATGCAGAAATGCCAATCTTTTTAGCACTTATTGGTTTTCTTGACATCTTGATTTCTTTTAACTGCAATATAAAAAAACATGCAATATATCCCTACACACACTTATTTTTAACAACTATCTAATTTACCTGAACACTGAAACTACCAAGTAACCAAATTACACTTTCACAAGGAAATAAAAAAGTTGTTTGAGACGGTTGGTCATTTTCATTGGACCAAATGAGTCCACTGACATACTCCGGGCTCCAGTGCATTAGGTGGTTGTAATGCAGAAGATTTTGCAGCAAAGATTGCGCTATGTAAAGCAAATGACAGACAACTGCAACAACAGTTAGCACGGGTGGGTTTTCAGTCCTGCTGCCTCTGATTGTGGTTTACAGCTTTCCAACCTGGGCACTGAAACTGGAAAATAGATAAATAGAATGGAACACAGAACTTAATTTAAACCCTGCTCCCTGTGGTAAAAACAGACTGATTTAGTCTAAGGTCCTGAGGAAACTCCTGCAGAGGGTTAAATGAGTGTGTGAAAATGTACAAATGTACTTCATCATCCCAGTTTTCTAACCATATTGTGTCTTACCAGTGTGGTTAACCTTGAGTGTGGTTAACCTTAAGTGTTAAGTTAAAAAAAAAAAAAGTAAGAGAAAAACTCATTTTTTCATCATTTCCTCATTTAGATTAAAAGGGGGTGAAGAGGAAGACAATACTTTTATTAATATCAAGGCGACAAGGCGACACAGGCAGTGAAAGACAAGAACCAACCACACATTTAAATGAGCAGCTGAAAGATTCCTCTGATATCTAATGGACAGTAATGTAATATTGCTCTGTATCACATAGAAAATTGGGCACATGATGGAAGAGAGGACAGAGATTAGTTGAGATCACAGAGTTATTTCTTTTCATTGAAAGAAATATCTGACAGAAGATTACAACAAGGCCCAAATCAACGCTCAGTTATTTTGGCTCCTAAGCTCATAATTGTGGTTTTAGATTGCCAAGAAAGACACCCATTTATGAAAGGGTGGAATTCCGGCGCTGATTTATCAGAGCGTTCAGAGAGTTTTTCGTCTGACGATCAGATTTATTTCATACTTTGAAATCGATGCCCTCAGTGAGAGGATGGATGTAACCACAGAAAAAGATCAAAGCTTTAATAAATGGAAGAATCTGGTTTCTTAAGCCAATTCTTACCCAGAATGTACCAAACGTTTCCACGTTTGGACATACTATTTGGGAGTTTACCCAAGCGATATGTTTGGCTTCCTTCTTGTGACCTGGTGCCTGCTTCAACAAACTTGCTTAGGTTTAAAAGGCATAACATTTTCTATGACCAGCAATATCAAAAACCATTTTAGTTTATTACCAACAGTCCAAAATTATTTTAAATCATTTTAGCTACACGGCTGTAAGGATGGCACTGATAGTTGTCTGGGGAAACCACCATGGTCCAGTCTGAAATATCTTAAAAACCCAAAACTCAGATATTCATTGATATTTGTACCAAAAGACAAATTTCAAGGTCTTTTGTTATCTCAATATTTTTTTGCTATGCAAAGCTAACCTATTGTACGTACATTGTTGTTGTTAGCATGTGACCATGCTCAAAATGTTGCTGTCTCCAGGTAGTCTAGCATGCCTGTAAAATGCTAGCTTTTACTATTTTCCTCAAGTTTTTTGTCTGCTTTTTTTGGAAAAAGCTTTGAAAATGCTACTACTCCGTATCTGTCCTCAGGCAATTCTTGTGTCATGATTAACAGAGGCTCAACAATATCAAAAGAAACTGATATTTCCATTTTCAGGAATTGCCTCAGTTCAGGGGGTTAGGCTTAATTTATAGATTATAAAAATCCTTGAACCAAGGGTTGTCATAAAATGTATGAAACATATGAAAAACAAACAATCTTTTGATATTAGTGGGGCTCTTACTGAGTGTCTCTGACCGTTTTTTTATGAACAGCTTGTTCTCGTCTGACATAAATCTATCAGCCCCGCATCCATGTTTGTTGAGGCCCGGTCAGTGACCTTTTACCATGGCTGAGATAGTGAATGGAGCAGTAGGGGTGGCTTATTAAAACCAGCTGGCATAGGGGAGTCGGTGCAACCAGAGACTGGCAGTTAGCTGTATTATTGAATCTGGATAAGCTCAAGGAGCTGAAGAGCTGTGGGATATTTACTGACCTTTGGGGTCAGAATCTACGTGTTGGCTCATTATTCTTTTTCATGAGCTTGCTCTTCTGCTCTACTCAATTGTGTTATAAAAACCTTTGAAGTTAAGACTTTAGGCAACCCAGTTTACTTAAACAGGAAATCCAGTCTTGGTTGTGCAGCACATTATGTGCTCACTTTATCCAGTTATTTATTTTGGGGGCAACTTAACAGTGTATTTCTTCTCTTTCAGTAATCTAAATGGTTTCTCCGTTCTGTACTGAAGAGTGATGATGTTTATGCAGACAAATCAGTAATACTAAGGATATTTGTTAGGCTACAAGCCATCTTTATCTAAGACTTGGGAGGCCTATTGCTCACTCTTTATTTCCCCTAAGAAGCCAAAGTTGGATTTCTTGAACTGATGTCACAGTCCCATGTGGTCCTGAGATGAACATGAGCAAACGTTAGTCATGGTGTTGATCTAGCTGACTCTTCATTTCTCATAAGAGAGCATTAAAAACACGCAGTGACCCTTAGCATGTTGCTCAAAATACACTATGATCCAAAGCATATGGGCTCTTGAAGATAGCAGTCTTGATGTGGTCTCATCATCTCTGATCCTCTGATTTGATCTAGAATTGTATGGATTTATAGACACATTTCCATGCCATTATTTTTTGTTGTTCTCACAGCTGTCAGACTGCACAAAAAATACTAAAAGGAAAACCAGTAAAAGGCCACTGATAAATCATTTTTAGCCTTATTTAACAAATCCACCCCCAGCTTGCTGAATTGATTTATTCTGACCAACTTGCTTTTGCCTTCTTTCCTAGGAAGTGTGTAGAGAGCTCTGGTGCCTTAGCAAAAGCAACCGTTGTGTAACTAACAGTATTCCTGCTGCAGAGGGGACCCTGTGCCAGACAGGCAACATTGAAAAAGGGGTAAGTCATCTAGTGTTTCTCAGACATTTAAAGGTTAAAGTTTTTTTTCCAGATACACAATTTTTAATATTAGAAGAAGATGACTCAAATAAATACAAAAATGCTATTTTTAAATGATGATCTCATTTATTAACAGGAAAGAAAAGGGATAAAAAAAAAACAACCTCCAACCTAACCCTGTGTGAAAAAGTAATTGCCCAAACTTGTTCAATCATTAATTAACTGCGATTCACCACATTTTGTGGAAATCTGAGCTAGACACACCTAGTTGTGATTACTGCCAGACGCGATGAATCAAGAAATCACCTAAATAGAACCTGTCTGACAAAACCTGTCTCAATAAAGAGAGAAAGTCATTAACATCTATCACTCTGGGATGGATTGCAAAGCCATTTCTAAGGCTTTGGGACTCCAGTGAACCATGATGAGAAGCATTATCCACAAATGGACAAAGCATAATACTCCAAAAATCCTTTGACAACTCATCTAGTAGGTCAAAGATGAATCCAGAACAACAGAACTACAGGCCTCGCTTGCCTCAGCTTAGGTCAGTGTTCATGATTCAACAATAAAGAGAAAAAAAAGAGCAAAAATGGCATCCATGAGAGGAGTTCCAAGGAGAAAGCCAGTGCTGATCAAAAAGAACCCAAAGGCTTACATTTGCTAAAAAGCATATCAGCAGCTGAACCATGATGGTTGTGTGATGATCTGAGACTGCTTTACTGCTTAGGACCTAGATGACAGAGGTATGATAGAAGTATGAATTCTGCCGTCTCCCAGAATCCCCTAAAGGAAAATATCCAGCCACCGGTTTGCATCCTGAAGCTCAAGAACACATTTGGGTTATCCATCAGGACAATATGTAAATATAAATATGTAATATAAAACAAAATGTAGGTTTTACAATGGCCTAACCAAAGTCTGGTCTCAAATTAAATTGAGATGCTTTGGTATAACCTTTAGCAGGTCATTTATGCTTGACCCTTCAGTGTAGCTGAATTGAAACAATTTTGCAAAGAAGAGTGGTCTAAAATTCCTCCATTTCAGAAAGAGTGTAGGAAGCCATAAATGTGTTACTGTCTCTTGCAAATCTTTTGCCATCTACATGCACAGAAATTTGAAACTAAAGAGAAATTCACATTAACTACTTGCATTTTCAGTATAGCCAGAAGCTCATCAATATGAAAGTTCAGAAATTCAGAAATCCCTCCTGAAATAGTGATAGTTACTGTGGGATAGATATTTAAATGCAAATGGCCTAGGCACTAGGCAACTTGACTCTTATCTTCTTTTCGTTTTCACATACTCCTTTTTTGGGATCACCACAGTGGACAATCTGCTTCTATCTCTGGAATCCTCCTCTAGCACACTAAACTTCTGCATGTCCTCCTTCACTTCACTACATCCATGAGTCTCCTCTGAGGTCTTCCTCTTTTCCTCGTGCCTGGCAGCTCCATATTCCACATTTTTGTCCAGTATATCCACTATCCATCCTCTGCACATGTCCAAATGATCTCAACTTTGTCTCCATATTGCTCAATCTGAGCTGTCCCTTTATATTGGAATATAACCAGAATACAACCAACTGTTACCAGTCAAGTCAAGGACTCTATTAGAAAGAGCCACATTGCAGATGAATACAAAAACCGTCCTTGATTAGAAAGATAAAAGCCCAGTGTCCTGAAACAGAGTCTGGGTTCTGCTTCACTTTTAAGCTTCTTCAGCCATGGGAGGAGAAGATGGGCCTACTGATGTTGCTGTTGGTTGTCATGGCTGCCAGTTCCCACCTGATATCATCAGCACAGACTGATTCAGACTGGTTACAACATTGACTGCGTTTATAAAATAGATTGCAGTTACTTGCAAACCTTTGCCACTATGTCTGAGAGAGATTGTGGGAAATCCAATTTGGACTGTAATTCTTTGGAGACAAGTTGCCTGTCACCAGAGATTGAGAGTTAAAATACTTATGAGTTGCTTGCCTGCTTAGTGAGCGGTTGTGGCAACTCTTCGCTGTAGGTGGGTGAAATTGGTCACAATGAAGTACATGGTGTCTGTTTGCAATTGCTTTGGTCGACAGCAGGTTACTGTTGTCAGCTGTAGTTTGCATGGAAGTTGCCAACTTGTCTGCACACACTCACCTAAGCCTCTAAGTGTTTGTGAAAATGTCAGGAGTGTCTTACAAATTGGAAACAGACACTGTTTACCTTCACAGTTGTGCTTTTTGAAATGTGCTGGTTTCAGAGGTAACGCAACTTTTATTTTATGCACTTTGCATTGCACCTTTTCAAGTTTCACTAACGCTCTGCACTTAGTTAGCAACTGTTTTTATATGAGTCAGTTAACGATGGGTGACCGCGGCAATCTGCTCGTGACCAAAGCAGTCACAAGGAGGTTTTTGGTTCAGTGGCCTGCAGTGACCGATTTCACCCAACGACAGCCAGCAACCGTCAGGGAATACACATTTCTTCCAAGTGAAAATAGGCTGCCAGATGGACCAAGCTACCTCTAGAAGTTTATATGTTTTAAATTAGAATTTGGGTGAACCTGCCCTTTCAGCACTGCAGCTATATTTAATACCTGTGATGTGAAACAAGCACTTTTATTCTCTTCTCTGTGTGTAGCTAGTGGTACCTCACTAGTGTGCACTCATGCATTTGGTACAACCACACACCCACACACACATACACAAACTCACAGACGTAAGCAGGCCAGGCTTTAGGTCATCAGCCGAGTGCTGATGCCAGCCAGGTTAGGGGAGACTGTTTTAACACGGATTACGGCAACCATTGTCACCGGATGGTCCGAGGGGTAAAAGGGAAGAATAGGAGAGTGTCACGAGCTGTCACCCATAATTACCATTAGCTCAGTGGAGCCTTTGAGGACCAGGGCCCACGGACAGAGTCCTGTACAACACAGGGGGCCCCAGGTAGAGCCCGGGGGGCTTTAGAACAGCTTTTGGAGCAGCTTTAGGAGAGCCAGTGGCATACTCTGTCTGCCCCTGCTGGGGACGGCTTCAAAGGAATATGAATGTCAGCCATTTCTCACCCAGCGTGTAATGGAGAGAGGCCCTTCCAACAGGACCAGACGGAGATAGAAGTAGAGACTGGGGGAAGGGAAAGCGGGAGGGGAGACAGCCAGGAATTAACCAATAGAGGGGAGCTTTGCGTTTCTTCTGTGTGTTCAAATTGACCAATAAACTTACAGTTAACGCTGAGGTTCTGTGCCCGTATCAGTTGGTCCTCCACATTTCTCTTTCTCCACACTGCTAATCTTGTTTAGACAGCATCTCAGAAATTAAATGAGAGGTAGAGATAAAGAAAGCAGCAGCTCAGCCTAGCCCTCACCTTGACTGTACCGGTCTCTAGAGGGTTATTAACCTACTGACACAGTTGGAGGGACAAAGGAAAGTCTCTGATCCCCTCTTCCCCCACAACTCTGAACAGATTAACATGATTACTCCTGAAACGTAGTTCAGCTCTTTCTCTGCCTCACCTGTCTTGGAAATAACTTCCCATAATGGAAACATTAAATAAATATAGAAGAGTCACGAGATACACGAGAATTAATTATTGGACAAAATCTTCAAAAGTTGGACACTGCATGGCCAATATTTTCCTATATGCAGATATATGTTGAATTATGTGTCCTCATAAATTCTCATAAATATTCTAATAAGCTGTATGTTATAGCGAGAATGGGCCTCTTTAACTTGAAGCTGGTCAGTGTGTCTGAAGAAATTATTAAGATATGTAATAACCAAAGTTTTCCACTCTGTGCATACTTCTGCTTCTCCCCACCCAGTGGTGCTACCAGGGGGAATGTGTTGCATTTGGTACCTGGCCTCAGAGTGTGGATGGAGGCTGGGGGCCATGGTCCATTTGGGGGGAGTGCAGCAGGACCTGTGGGGGCGGTGTATCCTCCTCCATGAGGCACTGTGACAGCCCAGCGTAAGTAGGCAAAGTAAGCCACAGCAAGCTGAACACACACATCCAGGTCCTTGCCTACAAGTGTGTGTTTGTGTGTAGATGTGCGTGTGTATGCGTGGCTGTGCGGATGTGTCCTAGTGCGAGTCAAGCTACAGTAATTATACAACAGTCATGTCTGAAATATTCACAAGGCTAAATGCTTCTTTAGTGGGAAAAGTAAACTGGCAGACCTAAAGTAAAAATATGTTGACTGCTACAGGTAATGACGCTTTTAATTTATGACAAGTGTAAATATTCTGACATGTGGTACAGTGATTTTAATGTTCATTTTAAAATCCTCCACCTGTTTAGAAAAAATAATGATTTAGCAGCTCGACAGACAAATGCAAGGGGTGAATATCTGAGTCACATTTGTCATTATTAAACATATTTAAGAATATTGCTGCATATTTGCTGGACGTGTAAACATCTCTACTGCCCAGAAAACCATTAGTTGTTTTTTTTTTCTTGACATCGAGTTGAGGCTCTAAAATGAAAGTTGAACCGATGTCTCGGGCATTACTGTGACATTGGTTCAAGTAATGTGTTCAACATTGCCTGGATGACTGGTTAGAATTTCTAGTAAGATAAATTTTACAGTAGGTATGGATAAACAAAGCAACCTTCTGCTTTAAAGTCCCCCAATTACCCTACTGAGCTAAGCAGCTTCAAATCTAATGTGGTAATTGTAATTTTATAATACATTAAATTCACCATTCCTATAAACAATAGAATTTATATGTACAAAACCATAAATAACTTTGTTCTGTGTGGAAATAATATCCGTTCATCTGTCCTACGTTATTTTCTTTATACATGCTGCCTTTGGGACTCATTTTCAAAAAGCATAATATCTCGTTTCACTGCTATGCTGACGACATCCAAATCTACTTCCCCCTGAATCAGGATGTCCAGTCCTTATTAGTGCCTTTGTTCAATTGTCTGCGGGAAGTAAAAGATTGGCTATTACAAAACTCTCTAACTCTAAATGAAAATAAAACAGAAATTATTGTTTTTGACAGTCCCATTCCCCTGGACCAGCTGACTAATACACTGGGGTCCTATGCCAGCCATCTCTCTTATAACGTTAGAAATCTTAGTTAGTTAGTTAGCTAGTTAGTTCGTTTTCTAACCGACCTTCTCGACGTGTATAGCCCCAAGAGAGCGCTCAGATCCTCTAACCAGCTGCTCTTAGTGCAACAAAGGCCCCGACAAAAGACCAGAGGGGACCGAGCTTTTGCAATGGCCGCACCCAAACTCGGGAATAATCTTCTTATCGATGTCCGCATGTCAGATTCCATTCAATTGTTTAAATCCCACTTAAAAACTCACCTGTTCCATCTAGCGTTTGAAGCAAATTAGTTCAGACCTGGTCTGCAGTTGTGCTGTGTAACTGTAACTACAACTGGTTTTAATTGTTTTTAACTGTTTTCTGTTGCTTTTGTTGTAATCTGCTTTGCTACCTTGTGTGAAGCACATTGATGGACACTGTCCTTTTTAAATGTGCTATATAAATAAAATATTGATTGATTGATTGATCTATTGTTCCATTTTTGCTGTACTGTGATCAGTTTTGACCATGGAGATGACATTGGGGTTTCAACCATGTTTTTGGCTTTGGAATTCCCATTTTTAGCCTCATTATGAATGTTTTTACTGTCACCATTTGGATGTGACCAATAACTTGTGTAAACCCACACCCATTTACTGGCAGTAAGTCGTTAGCTTGGATGATCTCGTTTTCTGATAACGACCAAAATTTTAAAAATCTCAAGTAAGTCTCAAACTCAGTAGGAGAGTTCTAAGTAGGTCAAGACTTCTATTGAATCAATGAATTAAGTACTTTTGAAGAAATAATTTTACTTAATAAGGTATAAAAGGTAGGTATAAAAATACAGATCTAGTGTGGACACCATTGGTTGAAAATTGTTTGGTGGTCCTTCCATTCTGCTGCATACCGAAGATGACGATCGTTGATGGTAGGACGTGAACATTGTTCCACACACTTCTTGATTGTTATGAGTTCACCATCTGGGTACTTGTAGTGCACTGTGCATAAGTGTATTTCACTGTCACTGTGAAACACACTTATGCACTCAAAACAGCAAGTCTAAGTGGAGAAGTGTGCAATATGAGCCGTAGTAACTGGCTTTCCAAGGCTCAGTTGAAAGCCTGGATTTCTTCTTTACCATTTTCTAAATTTGAACAACAGGGACAGATGTTATTTGAAATGGGGAAAGAAAGGAATACACCAACGCAACTGTCAGTATCCTGAAATTACCACAAAGACCAATATTAGCTGTTTCAGATAATACTTTGCAGCCATTACAACTGACTGTAAAGGTTCTTAGTCCTTGTTCTTGTGCAGTTTCACACAGTCTCGGTTAATGTGACATGTGCAATAAGTTAAGACATAGCTTACTCTTCTTCGAAGATTATGGTGATGCGTAGGTTTACTTTAAAATCTCCCATGTGTCCTCACTAGACAAATCATTGACCAGTGCATCTTTGGCGGGCAAGTAGACATCTGGGATCTTTATCCTTCTTCCATTGTAGCATTCCTTTGTTTTGGAAACTAGGTATTACGTCAAACACGTCATGGGAAGGCAAGAAAAAGAGCCAGGGTGAACCAGAGGGAAGGAAGAAAAAGGGGAGGAGGTGAAGGCACAGGCATAATGTGGAACACCTGTGTAAGGTGATCACTGCTGCTCAGCCATCAGTGCAAAGAGGAGGGAGGCAGAAAAAACACAGCCAGACACAGCCTCTAACACATTCATTACATGGCCTGTCTCACAGTTTTTTTGCAATAAAGTGAAGGGAAGGGAGGCTTCTGAAGGTGAGAAAAAGCAGAGAGATGATAGGGAAAGGAAAAGAAAACCTTCAGAGATGTGGTAGATGTGTAGTGAAGAGTAGAAGAAGGAAAAGCGTGAGTTAAGAGTCATTAGACTTGAAATGCCATGTCACATTTAAGAGCTCTTAGAACAGCTTGGATTTCCTGAATGAATCATTGGCACAGATGCTCAACAAAGCAGCAAATGCTGACACACAAACACTCTTTGTTTTCTGGCAGAGACTTTTTTTGCGCCTGTTTCATCAGAAAAAAAAAAAATCTCTTATGTACTGTTTGCCCTAAAGATAATCTCTGAGAGGAATTTGTGAATATAATTTACGGCGCTTTATGTGGTTTGATGTAAAGTGTCTCTTTTCCCCATCCCTCATTTATTTCTGTTGTGTCTCTCAGCCCATCTGGAGGAGGCAAGTACTGTCTCGGAGAGAGGAAACGATACAGATCCTGTAACACTAACGTGAGTTTCTTCATTTCTTTGCCTCCCTCTTTCATTTTCTGCCAAGTAGCATGCGAGCGACTTAAAAAAATGTTGGATCACCTCTTTGCTCTTCCACAGCTCTCCTCCAGAACATGTTATCTTAGAAAAGGGCTTTACAGGCTGCACACTAGCACACAGCATCACGTTGCCTTTAAGCTTTCTGACATATTTTCTCCTGGAACGTAGGACAGACAATGATAAAAATGAACAGACAGAGATTCAATATTCCCCTGGTGACTTTGGGTTTATTCGCGCCCTCTGTCATTTTATAGTTCATTTATTGTTTGTGACACTTCACTTGAGTCAAACAATGATGACAGTTCAGGGTGTATTTCATAAGAAGCAAGCTTTTTTTTTTTTTTTTGAGGTCTGGAGCAATGTTTTATCCAAATATTTGACATGGCTGCAAGTTAAGATCTCTGTTCAACTATTTCTAGGTGGCCTTTTTCACTAGGTGAAAATTGAAATAGTTAGGGCCTTAGTAGACATTTAACCACAAGTCTTAAAAATAACAGTTCTGAGCAAGCACCGAGTGTTTTCTTTGGAAAATAAGCAATGTCCCTAACCACTATTTCATCACACTAACCACACCTTGTCCAAAGAAGCATGTGTGTGTGAGAGAGCGTGCCAAATGTAGATACAATGACAAATACTCACAAATTATCCTCAAAAGTATATAAATGAGTGGGCCAAGTTTCATGGCAGACAGCCTATTTATTCAAAACAGTTAAACTGGTAGTAGCAGTCCTTGGAAAAAGGTCTGATGATTGCCAGAGTCATTAGGATCTCAACTCTTTAGCATAGTTAAAAAACATATGTCTTAATCATAATCTGTGCTTATGCCATACATGTTGAGATATTTCATTACCTGAATTAAAACTGGTGGTGCTGGTGATGTCAGATGGTCACTAGAATTCATCCTCTGATTACCATGCATACCTTCAGTATAAAGATTTTATCACAGTAATTATTGCAATATTCCACCAAACTGGTGGACTACCAAGAGCATGCCAATCATAGAACCATCCCACTAGCATCTAACTTAACGTGTTATCTCTAAGGACAGTTAAATGAGTATTGCCTTGACTGGTTGCGAGTAGTTGCTGGAGGCAGCTGCTGTAAAATAGATTGCTAATCCCAATCATCCACGCCTAAAGACTTGTCAGTGACCCCGATAATAACCAGAAGTTACCAGTTTACCGGTTGGCAAGTGATTGTAGGAGGTTGCTTAGCACTTGGCAACAGTGGGAAGAAAAAAAACCCTTTTAACAGGAAGAAACCTCTGAGATTAATAATAACAACTTTGTTTTAACATTCTATAGGAATCAATTTATTTTGCATAATATTTCACAATTTTATTTTTGTGCTAATTCTGTTACCTTTTATTATTTATATTTTGTCTTCTTATCTGACTTCTTTTGTTGTCTTTTTCACTTTAAGTTTTAATGTGCATTAGCCTCTGAATTCAATCTTTATTTCTCATTTTTGGTCAAGCACTGGTAGAGCACTGACATTTAATTTGATTTGTTTATAAAGCCCACTACAAATACCACATTTTGTTTTATATTAAGCTCCTCAAGAGGCACAGACGATACCTTTTTAAGAACTTTAATTTTTAAAGTCAAGATAATGAAGGGAAAGTGTCAAGCAACTGGACTCCAGCTGCTTAAATGATAGGACTTTTCTCCCTTTTTGTGCCTTCTGTTCTATTATTATTTTAATCAGTCGATAATCAACAAGTTAAACATTGATGAAAACCCAACATTATTAAAATGACCTTTTCTTTTGTTCCAACAGATGTTAGCACATGTAAATCTCATTTGGTACTGTGTTTTCATTTCAACACACACTTGCAATAATATTATTCTGTCTCCTCTGACTGGATCTGCATGTTTGATGTGCAAGTTTAAAGCGGCTAAATTGGCAAAACACTTGAATGGTAATGAAAGTGGCCTATCCTCCCTATGGCCCACTCCAGCATGGAACACTTTGAGCATGTGAAATACAGCTTTGACCCGAGAGCCTTTATTTGTACCGAGGGAGAGTGTTTTGCGGTTCCTAAGGACCTTTTCACACCAGCAAAGTGTTTCTTTCCACTTTTTACCTCCTCTTATTGGCGCATTATCCACACAGTGGAGTGCCATCCCAGAATCAGAGCCAGAACTCAGTCTGCCCCAGCCTGCATTCTATACTGGGCTGTTTCACCTCCTCTGGCTCGGTTTATGTTTCTAATTAGCTAGCCAAAGAAATGTTTCATTATCCATCATAAATCCACACATAAACAATTCATCTGAACACAGAACACAATGTTCTCAGACAGAAATGCCAAGAAACACATCTTCTTTAGTCTGTAAAAAAAATAAAATGTGACATTGTTAATAAAGTAGGGATCTTAGAAAATAAAATGAGCAGATAATTAATTTACTCAAAAGGCAACAACACGCAAACCTACACATAGACTCTGTAAAAGATGAATGTACCCCCCTTGATGTGATTGGTTTGTCAAGTCCTGTTTTAAAGCTTGATTTTAGCAATTTGGCTTTTCACAAGTCAAAGGAGGTTGGAGGGCTAAAGTATTAGCTGTTATCAGAGGTTCAGTTTAGGAATTTGAATTTGTTGAGGTGGAGAGTACCAGACCTGCGGGCTTGTTGGTACTAACCTGTGTAGTCACTCCCCAGACAAATTTCAATGCAGTGCAGATGGTGCTGGTTAAATGACGAAATATTGACATGAACCGATTACATGGCAGATCACACAGTTATTATATTGACAAGCTGCTGGAGATCACTCTTACTGACCTTAATTCCAAAGGTCATTAGCACCAGTCTAATGTGAACTGGGATAAGACATTCGATAATCTTGGTCCTTTGTATTCACATTCAGTTTCACTGTTGTTTGCAGGCCTGCCCTGTAGGATCTCGTGATTTCCGAGAGAAGCAGTGCGCTGATTTTGACAACTCCCCTTTCCGCGGGAAGTACTACAACTGGAAGCCTTACACTGGGGGTGAGTTCAGGACTAGTTGTGATCAGTTGTTTGTATAGTACATCCATGGTTTCAAAGTATTACTGTATAACATGAACGATTAATTACTATATAGGCAATGGTGTCTGGATGAAGTTCGATCAGAGTTAAATTCACTCCCACTGAATTCTTATTAAATAATTAATAATTACTCACTCTCAGTTTGAACTTGCTAAGAGTTGAAGCTGTTGTTCTGACAAAACTCTCTAAGAGCTGAGCTGCAAAGCCTCCCTATCATCCCTTTTGTGTCTCAAATGACAGTTTGCAGGCTAGTCTGGTTTCTGGACCCATCTCGGGCTTTTTTCCCCCTCTCTGGATCAACAGTTTTTTATTGAGCCAATACCAGTGGAAGGACTGTTGTATTGTCATAGGTACTGGCAGGAGTGTCTCTCCTTGAAGTCTTCAGATCTAGGAAAATATCCACTTAACTAAGACCACAAATATCTCAGAGAGAAGTGATAAAGTTTGAAGCATGTAAACACAGCTTTTGTTTTCTCTCAGAGATGTGAGAGCTTAAGTCTGTTTTGTCAAATCCATCACCTCCTCTCTTATAGCGCTCCGTGGGCTGAGGCGTCATGTAAAAACAGGAGATAACCTACACGTGGATGTCAGTGTAATTGTTTTTGGCAAGCAGCGCTGTCTCTGTTGTTGTCAATGTTACAGTGACGTCAAGTTTTGGGGGTTTTAGATCTGAGCACCGCTGACTTTCCCCCCCTCATGATTATTACTATCAACAAGTTAAGAGGAGATCCCAGAGCTGGCTGCAAGTCCTGGAATAGCATCGACATTTGCTGGTCTCTGTGTTGTTAGGGTTCTGTCAGGGGCCAGGTCACGCTGTCTGTTCCCTGTGTGAAACTGAACTTTAGGTAATGATGTGCTCGGTTTTCGTCCATGCTGTGTAACCCAGGTGGTGTGAAGCCCTGTGCGCTGAACTGCTTGGCAGAAGGCTATAACTTCTACACTGAGCGGTCTCCTGCTGTCATAGATGGCACCCAATGTCAGGCTGACTCGCTGGACATTTGCATCAATGGAGAGTGTAAGGTAAGGGAGCCAAAACCACATCTTCAAACACTTCTTGTGTTTTACAAATGTATTTTTGATTCTCATTATTGAAGGATATGCAGTTGTTACAACAAACTGTTGTTGCTACTGGCACTGGATGTATTAAATATTAAATATCTTTATATTTACCTAACCGCATCAGTGAGGCTCATGCATGAAAAATCAACCAGTGCCTCCAACCTGACTCCCTTACAATCAGCTGTTTGTTTGTTTTTTTCTTTGCACATGACAAAAACTAAGATTGTGGCTTTGGCTTATGAGTTCATTTACACATAAAAAAAAAATAGAGCTTAAAAGTTGTTTTCAGTCCAGGAAATTTCATGTGGCTAGTTTGAGGAAATATTGAGGTAACTATGAGGAAGCTATGAGGAATCAAAAATGCAGGGTAAAAAAGCCTTCTTGCTGTGAGGTGACAGCTCTAACCACCGCTCCAGCATGCCTTGTAATTATTGGACTTATTGTGTCTATTGTGTTTTTTAGTTAACTACATAATCAATAAACAACTGTTCTCTTAATAGTTTTTTGAGTAAGTAATTTTTGAAGAAAAACGTTAAGCACTAGGTTTATTATTTAGTTAATTAGAAGTTATTACTTTTTTTTGTCTTATGTGATTATGAAAATAGTTTTTTTTTATTTGTTGATATTCTGTAGACCACTGACTTAAAGATTAATTAGCAAAACCAAGTTGTTAGCAGCAAGCATGCTGTAGTTGCACACCGTTTTGTAATTCAGTGACATTCTGAAGCCTCTGTTTTCTTAAAGTAGGAATTTTCTCGTGACAAATGGTTAACAGGTTTGCATTTACATGCAGTAAAGCCTTAGGCTAATCAGTTTCCCAGCTTGGTAGAATTGATCAGCCTTACAGCATTCACTTTTCTATTTCTTCTGTGATTAGCTAGCTTGTCAGCATGCAGTTACTGTAGAAGTCCATATCTGTTTAGTTTCGCATTTACTCAGAATGCATGTTTCTGTGCAGACCACAGTACAACTGGGCGGGCTGAAATGTATTGAGAACGTAAAGTGATACACAAGCCTGATTTAAAATATGCAAAAGCCCATATTTGGCCGGCATTAAGTTTCAAATATGTGCCTTAAAGGGAGGGGAATGAAAAAAAAAAGAATTCTTTAGCCCTCTACTGAATGACTTTTTAATTTTTGGGGAAAAAAACATTTCTCCCTATTTTGGGGGAGCTTTGGGGTCCCTAATAATATATCAATCATAAAATTTGAAACCCTGCCCCCCCCAAACAGATATTGGTTTGTTGCGTCAAGGCAACACTAGTCAAACACAAAGTTATTCTATAATAAGTTTTATTAGTACAACAAGGATGAACAAATAAATAAACAACAAATAAACAATGTAAACATTTCACAGAACAATAAAACACCAAAATACATCCAACATTTGACCCTAACCCCGTATACACACACACACACACACACACACACACACGTTGTGTTTCCATCACTTTTGGGGACATTACATTAACTAACATTCATTTCCTGGAGAATTATCCTGACCCTACCCATCACAAGTCCCTGCCTGAACCTAACCGTAACCCTGACCTTATCCTAAACCTAACCTTACCCTAACCCTGACTCAAGCCTTCACCCTAAAATTTAATGATTTACCTTGCAATTTGTCCCCATAAAGTTGGC